TATATATATATATACATATATATATATATATATATATATATATATATATATATATATATATATATATATATATATAAACAAATAACGTACCCACTTGAGAAATGGTGGCGTTGTGTGGAGGTACAGGTGCCGGAGTGAGGACTCTCGTGGTGATCCCGGCGTTATATACTCAGGTGCGCGACCGCTTCAGTGCGCGCCACTCCTGCGCTCCTCCCGTCCGGGGTTAAGGCCCACCAATCGCGGAAGGGTTAAAAGAGTTATCTTATCTTGAGATGATTTTGGGGGGTAGTGTTTCCTCGACCAGGCCTCCTTTTTGTAACACAACCCCAGGAAGCAGCCCGTAGCAGCTGACTAACTCCCAGGTACCTATTTACTGCTAGGTAACAGGGGCATCTGGGTGAAAGAATCATTTTGTCCATTTGTCTCCGCCTCCACCGGGGATCGAACACGGAACCTCAAGACTACGAACCCGTAACTCTGTCCATTCAGCTGTTAGGGCCCCTGGCGTCCGCACAGTTAACTACTGACAAACTGAACAAAGTCCAGGACTCGAAAGAAATCAGTGTATATGCACCGAGAGGAAGCCGATAATGATTTGTTGGCCTTAGTTTAGCCTAATCAAATTCAAGGGTTATTTATGCCAAATTTAACTAACTTGCGAGATTATCTTAGTACTCAATAGAGGTAAAGATTCAATTCAAATCTTACGAAAAATGCACTGAGAAGCAGGATGGTTTAGTGTTGACCTTAAGGTCTATCTAATTCCGTAGGATTTAGGCCATTATATTAGCTTACTGACCATCGAGTATTGATAGTTTACGTTTGTTAAGGTTAAAGAAAACTCTGAGTGTACATAAACACGTCCTGGCTGAGAGAGTAGGTAGGTCCCTGAGGGAACAAGCCCCTGGAGCTGTGTTGTCTCAAGCAGTGTCCCTCAGTGAGCGGAATCACGCCGCAGCACCTGGCAGGATACGTCACGCTCGTTAACCATGCCAAGGACCAACTCAACCGTGATATTATATTCTCGGTGATGAGAAGCCGCTTCTTCCAGCCCGTGCTCTACCTTGCATGACACCCAAGGCCTCTGATGGTACTGCAACAACACCCACGACCTCTGATGGTACTGCAACAACACCCACGGCCTCTGATGGTAGTGCAACAACACCCACGGCCTCTAATGTTTTGTTTAATTTTACATGCAGGCATGCAAATAAATACAGTTAAACAACATAGTAACACATCAACAGAGCAAACAGAAAACCACCGGCCAGAAGGACCGACAGCAAAGTTCAACATTAAGTAGAACAGGAGAAAACTCAAGAGAAACACAACATATAACAAATCAAGAACATAACACAAAACAAAACGCAATGTAAACTAGCAGGCACGCAAGCAAATAATGACAAAGAAAACAAAACATAGGAACAGATTAAACAAATCAAACATATTAGCACCGGCCTGAAGGACCGACAACAAAGCACAACATGAAGTACAACATAAAAGAATACACAAGAAAATAAAAACATACAGCAAAACATTGAACAAAACACAAGAAACACGTAAAGCAGAAACAACACAAATACAAAATACAGGGCATATATACAACACAAAATACCCACAAACCACAACCCAAGCACATGAACAAGATAACGCACAAGAAACTACTGGCCTCGCAACAAACAACGGGAGAGGCACGAGCACATAAGGATAAGAAACACACATAAAAAAAACACACAATAGGGCAAGCAAGCAGCCTGAGGGGCACACAACACTACACAAAGCACATAAACAGGATATTAGCGCACATACTTGCCCGGAAACCGGACCCATGGGAACCGCACATTAAACGCTTCCCAGAGCAATCACCACCGATAGTCTCGCACATCCACTGGGGAAGTCATAACATCCGGAACCCTAGAAACAAATACCTGCAAAAAGGGGATCCAGATGGTATCACTGACGAGGCGAGTTGCCGCCACGCATCGCCACACGCAGGGAACCTGCTCACCAAGAAAGTTCTCCGGCTTGTCAGACAGCACTAACTCGGCAATCGCGTTCCAGTGACCTGGCGGCATCACAGACGCCAGCAACACGTCCCCTAGGGCCCCAACGTGCATCCCCACAGGAACGAACTTGACAGAGGGCACCACCACAGGGGCACCAGCGGCCAGAGGCACACCACCAGATAAAGGCAGGGAACCCGGATGGAGCGCATCCTCCCGTAATGTCACCACCAGGCCACGTCAGCACCCGTATCCACACCATCCCTGGCAGCGGAAGCCACCACCCCTCACTGCGGAAAGCCCCTGGTGGAGAAAGAGCAGAAGGCACGTCAGACACACGGGCACCAGCACCAGCAGGCACATGGACCTCCCCCACCACCAACTGCGTAGACAGCGACGCATCGGGATCCACACCGTCCACACCAAAAGACCCCACAGTCACTGAAGTCACCAACATCGGCCCAGGCAGAAGACGAACGCCGGGAACGTTTGGGCTCCGGCCAGATATCGTCAGAACCTGAGGCGGACCCAGAAACACGGCCACAACTAGCCGGACGAACCGACGCCCGACGCAGAACGGCAGCAGCCTCTACCACAGGGGGAACCGAGCCACATACAGCAGGAGGCTTGCAGCCTCCCCAGCACGCAGCACAGCCTGGACCCAAGGCGAGGACGCAGGGCCAGGTGTAGCAGCCGAAGACAAGGGAAAGGAAGACGGCGACACCCCGCAATGATCACCTGGAAGGCCCACGGGAGTAGCGAGGACAGCGACAGGAGCAGGAAGATCATCCGTTGGCACTGCAACACCCGGAGGATGGTCCGCAACAACCGTAGGAATGTCGGGCGACACAGGAGGAGCCGCATCAGCTAACGGGACGCGCACCTCCTCACCCCAGGAGTCCTCCTCCAGAGGGAGCACGGGAAATCCTCCTCCTGGAACAAGTTATCAGGAGCAACCGTAGCCCCAGTGCACCCGGCAGCCTGATGCCCCAACAGGCCACACCGGAAACATGTATGGGGTTGCCGGGCATAGTACACCTGGACGTAGTACCTCATAAGCCGGACAAAAGATGGTACATCCAACTGCATGCGCATCCCCAGGGTATGAATATTCGTCCGCATACCCGCATACCTCCCTGAGGAGAGCGTGTTCACCGGCACACTGACGGCAGTTCCAAACCTCTGGAAGTAAGGCAGGTCTTCCTGAAATTCCATGGGCGCCCCATGCACACTGACATACATTAAGGCACCACTACAGTCCGTAATGGACACAGAGCCGGCACCATTCGACAACGGCAACGAACACCCCTTGTAACGTTGGAGGAAGTCACGGTATTCCTCCTCCCCCACACACTAGATAATAACCCAATGAGCAGTTACAAGCTCAATATCGTAGATGGCAATCACTGGGACACAGAGCATGTCACACATAACCATCTCGACTTCTGGGTATCCAACACGGCCAGTAAACTCCAGGCCCACAGAGATCACCCTCACAACAGGGAAAAGATGGCCTCCCATCACAAGCTCGCCACGTCAACACATAGCCAGGCAGTAACAGCAGAGACGTCCGCACCCCCTGGCGAGCAAAGTAGTAAACCGCACGGCCTGTAATGGTACTGCAACAATACCCACGGCCTCTGATGGTAGTGCAACAATACCCACTGCCTCCTATGGTAGTGCAACAACACCCACTGCCTCCTATGGTAGTGCAACAACACCCACTGCCTCCTATGGTAGTGCAACAACACCCACTGCCTCCTATGGTAGTGCAACAACACCCACTGCCTCCTATGGTAGTGCAACAACACCCACTGCCTCCTATGGTAGTGCAACAACACCCACTGCCTCCTATGGTAGTGCAACAACACCCACTGCCTCCTATGGTAGTGCAACAACACCCACTGCCTCCTATGGTAGTGCAACAACACCCACTGCCTCCTATGGTAGTGCAACAACACCCACTGCCTCCTATGGTAGTGCAACAACACCCACTGCCTCCTATGGTAGTGCAACAACACCCAATGCCTCCTATGGTAGTGCAACAACACCCAATGCCTCCTATGGTAGTGCAACAACACCCACTGCCTCCTATGGTAGTGCAACAACACCCACTGCCTCCTATGGTAGTGCAACAACACCCACTGCCTCCTATGGTAGTGCAACAACACCCAATGCCTCCTATGGTAGTGCAACAACACCCAATGCCTCCTATGGTAGTGCAACAACACCCACTGCCTCCTATGGTAGTGCAACAACACCCACTGCCTCCTATGGTAGTGCAACAACACCCACTGCCTCCTATGGTAGTGCAACAACACCCAATGCCTCCTATGGTAGTGCAACAACACCCAATGCCTCCTATGGTAGTGCAACAACACCCACAGCCAATGATAATACTGCAACAACAACCCACGGCCAATGATGATACTGAAACAACACCCACAGCCTCTGATGGTAGAGCAACAACACCCACAGCCTCTGATGTTAGTGCAACAACACCCACAGCCTCTGATGTTAGTGCAACAACACCCACAGCCTCTGATGTTAGTGCAACAACACCCACAACCTCTGATGTTAGTGCAACAACACCCACAGCCTCTGATGGTAGAGCAACAACACCCATGGCCTCTGATGGTTGTGCAGCAATATTCACAGCCTCTTGTGGCAGTGTAACAACACCCGTGGCATCTTGTGGTAGTGTAACAACACCTACGGCCTCTTGTGGTAGTGCAACAACACCCACGGCCTCTGGTGGTAGTGTAACAACACCCGTGGCATCTGATTATAGTGCTACAATGCCCACAGCCTTTGGTGCAACCCGTTCTCGCAAATTCGTAAAGTCAATATTGACTTATTAACTACGTGCATAGGTGATATACTAAACATAATAGATACCCTTAAACAGGTGGAGACATATGGGCAAACTGTTTCTCGCACTTTGATGCCCCTGTTACCTGTCAGTAAATAGGTACCTGGGAGTTAGACAGGGGCATCATGATGCCCCACAACAGGGGCATCAAAGTGCGAGAAACAGTTTGCCCATATGTCTCCACCTCCACCGGGGATCGAACCAGGAACTTCAGTAAAACGAATCCGAAGCGCTGTCCACCCAGCTGTCAGGCGACCGACAGTGCCACAACATCCTCGGCCTTTGATGATAGTGCAACAACACCCACGGTCTCTGATGGTAGTGCAACAATACCCACGGCCTTTGATGATAGTGCAACAACACCCACGGTCTCTGATGGTACTGCAACAATACCCACGGCCTCTGATGGTACTGCAACAACACCCACGGCCTCTGATGGTACTGCAACAACACCCACGGTCTCTGATGGTAGTGCAACAACACCCACGGTCTCTGATGGTACTGCAACAATACCCACGGCCTCTGATGGTACTGCAACAACACCCACGGCCTCTGATGGTACTGCAACAACACCCACGGCCTCTGATGGTACTGCAACAACACCCACGGCCTCTGATGGTACTGCAACAACACCCACGGCCTCTGATGGTACTACAACAACACCCACGGCCTCTGATGGTACTGCAACAACACCCACGGCCTCTGATGGTACTGCAACAATACCCACGGCCTCTGATGGTACTGCAACAACACCCACGGCCTCTGATGGTACTGCAACAACACCCACGGCCTCTGATGGTAGTGCAACAACACTCACGGCCTCTGATGGTAGTGCAACAACACCCACGGCCTCTGATGGTACTGCAACAACACCCACGGCCTCTGATGGTACTGCAACAACACCCACGGCCTCTGATGGTACTGCAACAACACCCACGGCCTCTGATGGTACTGCAACAACACCCACGGCCTCTGTTGGTACTTTAACAACACCCACGGCCTTTAATGTTATTGCAACCATAACCAACTTCCTCTGATGTCACTGCAACAACACGCACATCCTCTGACGGTAATGCAACATCATCCACGGCCTCTAATGGTACTGCAACCACACCCATAGCCTCTGATTGAAGTGCAAAAACATCAACGGCCTCTGATGTTATTGCAAAACACCCTAGGACTCTGTTGTTTTTCCAATAACACCCACGGCCTCTGATGGTAGTGCAACAATACCCACGGCCTCTGATGGTAGTGCAACAATACCCACGGCCTTTGATGGTACAGCAACAACACCCACAGCCTTTGATGGTACAGCAACAACACCCACGGCCTTTGATGGTACAGCAACAACACCCACGGCCTTTGATGGTACAGCAACAATACCCACAGCCTTTGATGGTACAGCAACAACCCCCACGGCCTTTGATGGTACAGCAACAACACCCACGGCCTTTGATGGTACAGCAACAACACCCACGGCCTCTGATGGTACAGCAACAACCCCCACGGCCTTTGATGGTACAGCAACAACACCCACGGCCTTTGATGGTACAGCAACAACACCCACGGCCTTTGATGGTACACCAACAACACCCACAGCCTTTGATGGTACAGCAACAACACCCACGGCCTCTGATGGTACAGCAACAACACCCACGGCCTCTGATGGTACAGCAACAACACCCACGGCCTTTGATGGTACAGCAACAACACCCACGGCCTTTGATGGTACAGCAACAACACCCACGGCCTTTTATGGTACAGCAACAACACCCACAGCCTTTGATGGTACAGCAACAACACCCACGGCCTCTGATGGTACAGCAACAACCCCCACGGCCTTTGATGGTACAGCAACAACACCCACGGCCTTTGATGGTACAGCAACAACACCCACGGCCTTTGATGGTACAGCAACAACACCCACAGCCTTTGATGGTACAGCAACAACACCCACGGCCTCTGATGGTACAGCAACAACACCCACGGCCTCTGATGGTACAGCAACAACACCCACGGCCTTTGATGGTACAGCAACAACACCCACGGCCTTTGATGGTACAGCAACAACACCCACGGCCTTTGATGGTACAGCAACAACACCCACAGCCTTTGATGGTACAGCAACAACACCCACAGCCTTTGATGGTACAGCAACAAACCCCACGGCCTTTGATGGTACAGCAACAACACCCACGGCCTTTGATGGTACAGCAACAACACCCACAGCCTTTGATGGTACAGCAACAACACCCACGGCCTTTGATGGTACAGCAACAACACCCAGGGCCTTTGATGGTACAGCAACAACACCCACGGCCTTTGATGGTACAGCAACAACACCCACAGCCTTTGATGGTACAGCAACAACACCCACGGCCTCTGCCTTGTGAGAAGAAGTAATATAATTTAATATATTAATCCATGACATCAGTACTTGTCATGGTTCCTTACTTCCCTAATTAATTACCAGTAAATAAAAAATTTAAGCTCTAGATAACTTTGAAGTGTTCAACGCATGCGTATCTGAGCCAAGGGGAAGTAGGAGGGCGTCACTGTGCCACGCGCACTCACAGGTTTGTAATGTGGACGCCATTACTGAGAGAACAACGTGGTCAAGCAAACAATACTCCTTTTAATTCTCATGTCTATGAGTTTATATTTATCCCGTAATCCTACCTCCTGCATCAGCGAGCGTCAGGGACCATCAACTACTCCTACAATAAGCAGACACGTTATTGGCGAGTGTAATAAGTATAATAGTTCCTACGTTAGTTTTTTTGTGTGCATACATAAATTAACGTGTAGGTTGCTCGTCGTCATATAGCAAGAAGACAACAAAAACAACGATAGTTTTCCTCATATTTATGTCCCCACCTTTTCTTATGAATAGTGGAATAATTTACCAGCCTTGGCATTTTTTTAAATTTTGGTGTTTAGTCTAGTGTGGATTGTAAGGACAAGCCGAGATAATCTTCCCCTCCATACGGTTTCCATTGCCCTGTGTTCTCAACAATAACCATGGCAACGAGATTACATCTACAAGTATTTCAGCTGTGAAATGAACGTTGTGAAGTCTTCTTTACAGCTATGCCCTCATACTAATTTTTCATAGATACTTTAGTCACATTCTTAATTAATTTATTTCTAGTATTATTACTTAGAGATGTGCTATTCATTTCTTATGCATGTACATAATATTTCAATGTGTAATTTGACAAATTTATTCTCATTCATTTTCCAACTATTTACTTACTTCAGCGTAGAACCAGCCTTGAAGTAATATTAGGGATATATTTGTCTCTCAGTATGTAACCCCCAGATTTATGTGTTTAGTTACAATTAATTAAAGAGTAGACTGTAGTTCATTTAATGCTCTTAATATTCTACTGATTTAATCTAGGTCCATAGACCACTGGTTGTTTTGGTCATTTCATATTATTTTATTTTCCTTCTTTTTATATAAAAGGAGGTGGTCCTTCGGAGTTATCTTAGTATTCAGTTTATATGATTATTATTAATATTGAGAGTTAGAATTTCCCACATAAATTTATGGTCATTAAAACCAGATAAATAACATAAAATATTTAAATATACAACGTTTCGTAGACAAAGTCTAGTCCCTTGAACCTAGATAGTTGAGAATTTATGCCATCTCTAACCCTATTAATCATTACTAACACTAATTGAGTGCAGTACATTAAGCTATATAAATATTCTCATTCATTTTGGCTGTCAGCAGACTGCCTCATCTCATAGCCTAAACACCATTAAATTTATTTCTAACATTCTACTAATAATTCATGTACAAAGTAGAATTAGTGAGTCCAGGTCTCATGTGGTTAACAAATTAGTTAATACTATCAACCACCATAGGAAGTTTTGGCTAGCAAGTCAAACCTAGCTATATATTGTTACGGCCCTATTGGGTCGCAACGGGGTTCTTTCTCTGTTATTAGAGTTTGGGTATCTGGCCCCAAGCTAGTAGTGGCTTTCAAGGGGTGTGTTCCGTAACGCAAGTAAATTAAAAGGGGAAGGGATACAAATTCACTAAACTTAATATATATAATTACCATCACCAATAAATAAATATATAAACTATCACACGGGGGGGTATAAACACTATAATGTACAATATGGTCTTCCTATGAAGACGCGGAGTGTTCCACGGTGCTCAAGATGAAGGGCCCTGGTTCCCTTCTCGTGGCCTCACGACGAATCCGTAGATTCTCTAGGCGAGTCTACCCCGGCCACAGGCCAGCCAAATCACAGTCCCACTGGGTGCACCGTCGTGGAGGCCTTCAACCACAAATCCAGTCTGTAGCTGGCAGGTTCCAATCAGCTACGCTGCATAGGCCACTCCACGACCGATACTAGGGTTGTGAGCCCTAGGCAGGAGCCTCGTGTGATTCCACAGATCACTCTCCTCACCACAACACCCCAGTGGCTAGTCTTCTCCACCAGTCAGCCCCGGGTACGACAATTCCTCAACTGCCACGTCACAGGCAGGCTAACACAACAGTGTTCATCCAGGGGGTGACTCACAGCTTCTGCAGCAAACATGTGGAGGTACTACGGCTGTCTTGAGTAGACTAATCCAACGTCCACTACAGCAATCCCAGGTCGACTCTGTAATCAGACACGTCATCAGTACTGGTTACACTCTAGGGCACCTCACTTACCGGCTTAGACACAAACATCCACCTATCCTCTCCATAGATGGCGTTGCTGTCTAAGCTCCACCTCACCAGAGGTCAGCAGCGGCTATGTTATGAGCTGATCAGGACGGAAAACCAGCCCCTGTGGCCGGTATATACTGTCCTCACTAGATAGCGTCGTCCATTTGGAGGGGGTTTCGGGAGCTGACCCACAGATGGCGCGGTCGTCACTGTT